AGGAGGCAGTGGCGAGCAAGGGGCAGTGTGGCCCAGGCCGGAGACTACCTGGCATGCCTGCCGCTTTGTTAATGCACAAAATGGTATTGTCAGGAGTGTGACATGCTGGAAAACTGGAGTGTTGATAAGTGAGCAGTAGGTGTGTCCAGTGGTCTTTTGGATGCCATGATTACAACCTTCAATAACATGGTAAAAGTCTCTGCCTTGAAGGAGCTTAAAACCTGGAACAGTGGTTCTCAACCTTCCTAATGCCCGACCCTTCCTCCAGTTCCTCATGTGGTGGTGACCCCCAACCTTAACATTGTTTTCTTGCTGCTTCATCACTGTCATTTTGCTACTGTGATGAATCGTCACGTAAATATCTGATACGTAGGATATATTTTCATTGTTACAAATTGAACATAATGAAAGCAGTGATTCATCACAAAAGCAGTGTCATTGTAGTGAAATATTGATTTCTAATTCCAAGTAAATGAAATGTTGTCTTGCAGCATGGGGTAGCATGGGTCACAGTCTTCATGCCGGGTACTTGTATGTGGCGCCCCCGCCCGGAGACAGAGAGAGGAGCGGAAACAGGTGTTTTCCGATGGTCTCAGGCGACCCCTGTGAAAGGGTTGTCGGCCCCCCAAAGGGGTCTCGAGCCACAGGTTGAGAGCCGCTATTCTAGCGGGAAGCAATACCTAGGAAACTGGTTACTTAAAAGGATTCCAGGTAGTCTTTTCTAGGAAATAACCTGAAGACTAGGAGGAGTGAGGACTACTTGGGGGCAGGCCACCTAGAAACAGTGTTTTCAAGGACACTGAAGCCGGAAGTGACCCGCTTTCCCTAGCCCACGGCCATCAAGTGGATGCTGACTCACCGAGTCCGTCCGTCCGTCCGTGTAGGGTTTCTGAGACGAGTGCCCCGAGCAGTCCAGCGCTGCCCTGACCACACCGCCAGCACTCCGCTTTAGGCTGCAGAAATTTCATCAGGAGTTGAGAACCGTCCAGAACACACACAGCCTTGAGCACGTCTCAAATTGGTGAGAACTCCTCTGAATTCACTGATGAGCTCCGAGCAACCTGACTGCAGAGGACACCGTGGGAAAACGCTTGCTTCACTCACACAGCCCTGAGAGGAAGGTTAGAGTTCTGACTCTGAGCCAAGATTGCAGAAGGTGCTGGGAGCCAGACAGCACTGAGGGACCCCAGATGGATGTTCCGAGGCTGTGAGTCTTTACAGGAGCAGGTGGCCGCACCTTTCTCCCTTGGAGTATCGGGTGTGTTTGAACTGCCAGCGTCGCCGTGAGCGGTCTAGCATGTGTTGCAGTGTTCACCAGGGAACCAAGGCATGAGGAATTTAGAGAGTGGTGGTGTGAAAGTTCTTTGGTGGCACTGCGCACACATACATGCTCTCTAAGCCCTGGTAGTGCAACCGGTAAGTGCTTG